CGCCTCCATTTCGACATCAGTGACTGGTGGGGCCGGTGCGGAGACCTCATTCCCTTCCTTCGGCGGCGGCACCAAAAGCGGAGATGTGGTGGGCGCTTCTTCTGGGAAGAGTTCAGCCACCGTCTGCGCCAGGAGGTCAGGGTCCATGTCCTCCAGCTGGACGGACTGCTGACCCATGCCTTTTCTGACTCCTTTGTATGGTCTGCCCCATGGGTCCCGATCCAGCTCCCCGAGAAACTCCTCCCAGGCTTCATCCTTGGCTTTAGCAATGGCCACCTTCAGGCTCTCCTTCCTTTCCCGGTAGACGCGCCACAGCTGCTCCCTCCTCTGCTTCGTCCCTTCTCCTCCGGCGCCTGCTACGCATGACCGCCCTTCGCGCCCTCATGGTTTCTGTCCTAATAGCCGCGATTTCCTCGGTCTCGTGGCATAGCGGAGTTGCATACCTCCCTAAGGGTGCTGGCGTGTCGCTCCACCTTCCCCTCCACCCCGTCCGGAATGTGCGCGTCCATGCACCAGGCCTGTGCTGCCGCTGTCTCCTCTGCCCGGTCCTTATCGAGTTTTGCCACCGCCCATCTGGGGAACAGCTGCCATCCTCTGACCTGCGCTGCCGGTCGCGCGCTGGGGCGATTCTGTGCCTGCGTGGGTGAGACCTCAAATCGGATATAGGCATGGTCCGACAGGGTCTCGGCCCCTCCAGTCCCTGATCCGGGCTGCCAGGATGGACGTGGCAAACGTGATTTCCACCACGGACCCTCCCCGACGTCTTACACAAGTGTAGGCCGTTCCTCTGTTGGCGATTTCCAACCCAGAGGCAACGGCCCACCCCAGGATCACCTCCCCTCTCGCATCGTCGACCGGGGACCCCCATGCGGAATGCTTCGCATTGAAGTTCCCCATTACAACGATCTGCCTAGGCGCCATCCTATGTATCACGCCAGTCAGGTTCTCCGCCCAGTCCTGTAGTTCCACCACCGATCTGTTCGGCGAGAAGTACGTGGCTAGCACGCCGATGCCACTCCAGTCTACCGCCACGTATCCCTGTCCCTTCTCCAGTACCGTGAGGGGGGAGTGATGAGCCAGCGGTACCGGGACCAACACTGCAACCGTCCCATTGGTGTCTGCAGTCCAATGCGGGCGCTGCGGGACGCTATAGGGCTCAGCCACCACCACCAAATCTATATGCCACTCGATCGCGTTCTGCATTAGTAGGTCCTGCGCGCGCCTCGAGTGGTTTAGGTTCCCCTGTAATAGTTTTAGTTGAGGACTACTTGTCATTACAGGACGAACACTCCATTATATCCTCTCCATTTTCTTCCCCGGTGTTTGCACGACTGGACCCACTCGTCGATTTCGTCTTGGCCTTGGGGGTCGGTGGAGAGCAGTTCCTACCGTCCATCAGGTGGTCCGCAGATACCCCCGATTCGGCGCAGATGGCGCATCTGATCACGCCTTTGCACTCGGCCGCCTTGTGTCCTGCTTGCCCGCACCTGAAGCAAAGCGAGCCCCTGTCGCAATCGGCCTTGCACATCAGGCGCGTGTGTCCAATCCCCATACACTTATAGCAGCGCATGGGGAGCTTCTCCAGTACCCGCACTCTCGCCGACACCCACCCGACCTTCAGTCGCCCAGCTTCCGCGATGGCTTTGGCGGCCAGGATCGGGCACTTCACGACGACTGCCCCTAGGCCGCTCGGTCTTGCCACTATCGTGCCGACCTTCACCTCCTCTCGTTTGCAGCCTCCCTTGGCAGCGACCGCCTCCGCAACCTCCTCCTGCGGCAGGGATTCCTCCAAGTCCAAGATCCGCATGGTGACTTGCTTAGTTGGTCTGGACACCTTCGCGACCCCTTCCAGAACCTCTCGCAGCCTCTGCGCCAGTTGGTCCGCCTTCGGGTCGCTGTCCGCCCCAGGGACCTCCAGGATCCGGGTCCCAGTTGCCGACATCTTCACTTTGAAGTCCTTGATGCCCAGATCCTGTAGCCTGATACCCTGTCTAGCTTGCGCTATGACCTGGGCATATGTTTTCCCTCCCTCTATGGTGCTCGGCAGCAACGATATCTCCACAGCCGAGGTTTTAGGCGCCTTCAACCTCGACTGTTTTGGCATGTTTGCCGTGGTCCCCTTGACCACTTGTAACTTGGCAGCCCCTGCATACGTTGCTGTCGGCTGGGTCGCCTGCGTCGCCTTTGCGGCGGGAGGATGGGAAGCTGTTGGTGCCGGCGTCTCTGTGATTTTGGCACCCTTCTTCTTCTTCCTCTGCTTGGCCGATACCGTCGTCCACTCCTCCTATTCCCTCTCTGGTCACCTGCTCGGTTCTCCGTTGTGAGGTTTCCAGCCATTTGGCTACTCGTCGACGGGCCTGGCTGGGGCGCCGCCTGTTCAGGCTTCCCCCGAGGCTCGACACCCTCGAACCGAGCGTTCATCATGCCGCCCATTTCCCTCATCAAACCCTGGCGTGCTTCCTGCCACCAGAGTGGCGGTCCCTCACTTTCCCTCCTTTGGTCTCTCTCCGTGACTTGATTCGGACGGGCGCTGGTCTGAACGAGCGTGGTGGGCACCCCTGGCTTTGCCTTTTCGATGGTCCTCGACTCCAGCGACTGTACCTTCCGCTGCAATTGTTCCAGCGTCTCGCTGAGCCGCTTGTTATCCGCCCTCAGCCTGGCTACCTCGCCTATAGCCTTCGTCTTGCGGATCCCCGACGCGAGGGCCGCCAATGTAACCCCGGTAGATTGAATTATCCCTTTGACCTGTGTGGCACCCAACTTCCCCGGCTCCACTGATAGCTTGGACAGGTCGTTCGCCACCGCAATCTATTTTTTACAGAGCTCCTCCAGTGTCTCCACACTCTCGTCTGATGTCTCTGGCGATTCCTCTCCTGCCTTGGTGGAGTCGTGCTCGCGCTGGGAGCCACTCACATCCGTGTCCGAGGTTGATTCCGCTCTCGCGCGGCGGGCTTGACTCATGCCACAGTCCTTTCCCGCATCGCGCTTATCAGTCAAGAGTCTCTCCCCTGCTGCCGCCTTCTTTATTTCCGGTGGCTGCACCGTGCTGTCATCGGTGGCGGAGGAATTTGGCGACTCCTTCCTTTCTCTCGGTCGTTTTGTGGCCGTCTTCCCCGCGGCCGGCTCCTTCGTCTCGGAGAGCTGTTCGAACTTCTCTCGCCTCTCCCCAACCTGCCCTTTGTTTAGGCTTTGCATCGACCTTGTCCGTGGGCCTAGATTAACGTCCGTAGTGTTACCGGAGGACAGTGTCCGCGTTCTTGAGCCGGAGGACTCCTCTGTAGGTAGAGAATGTTGAGATACAGGCTGCTTTGAAGGAGACCTACTTCTTACACTCTCCTGTTTCTTTTTCCTACTACTGCGCGTCTCTCTCGAGCTCTTATCCCCGCCCCCTCTCAGGCGAAGAACTCCTTTTTCCTCTGGGTGGCCTTGATAAGGGCCTTTAGGGCGGCCCTGAAAAGGGCCTTCGGCGTGGCCCTGAAAAGGGCCTTTGGAATGGTCCTGAAAAGGGCCTTTTATTCCCTCCTACGAACTCCTCGGTAGTGGATTTCACACCAGGGGTACCGGAATCCCGCTGGCGCCGGTGACCAACCGGAGTGCATTGGTCGCTAGTAATAAATTTCTCACTCTGGAGCCCAGCTACTCCAGAGCGCCCGGTGTCAGCGGGAGCGCATGACAAAAGACTATTAACCTTAGAGAACATTTTCATTACGAGTTCCCCCTTCCGGGCGGGGGGGGGCCCTACCTGGCCTCGTCTTGTGGTGTTTTTTTAAAAGGTTTTCTCCTTGTGGCCCCCGTCCCGTGGGACGGCGGCCCCCGGCCCTGCACCACGTGCAGGGTTACGGGTCGGCCGGAAGCGGCGCGGAGTCCGCACCGCAACCGCCCTACCACGGGCATAAACGCCCTCCTCTTGTGAGTCTCAACTGCCGCTGCCCAGGCTGCCCGGGGCTCCAGTCGAGATCCCTCGGGTAATTTTTAAAGAGGTTTTCTTCCTCGCAGCCCCCACCTCCAGGGGAGATGGCGGCCCTCGGCCCCGCACCATGTGCGAGGTTACGAGTTTGGCATGGCAGGTTACCCTCTTCTTGACAAGAAGAAGTGGGACGTCCCACTGGGTAATTTTTTAGAGAAGTTTTCTTCCTCGCGGCCCCCACTCTCCTGGGAGACTAGCGGCCCTCGGCCCCGCACTACTTACGGGGTTACGAGATTGTCGGCTATTCGACACCTCCGTAACAACACCCTCAGTGGAAGACATTACGCAGGCGCCCGGGATGCACCGTCCCGAACCCATTTCCGTTCCCCTATCATAACTGACCAGGGACGGGAAATGGACCGGGCACACGAGGAGGTTTCCGACGTAGCACCCCACCTAATATATACCTAGTATTCCTTCAAAACTATATCAACTTAGGCTCTAGCCAGGCAGACGGGCTGCATTTCAACAGCACTCCGGCTATTGAATTTGAATTTAATTCATTATGAATTAGCTTTGCCAGGGCCAGATTTAGAGTTTCGGTATCCCTGGGGCAACGAAGGAGTGGAAACCCTTAAATCTAGGTCGGGCCACTTACGATTTGCCGGTTGTTTTATCTCTGTTGTGGGGGGCCCTGTCTTGTTTCCCTGGGCCACAGCCCCGCTTGTCCTGCCTTAAATCCGGCCCAACTTATTTCAGCCATACCAACTGCATTTTAACTGCGATTTGGCAGTCGGAATGCCGTTGAAAAGTCGCCTGTTCGCTTTTTAATACCCCCTAGTTTCCATCTCATTGTTTACTATCATTTTTAGGTCAAGATTATTGCGATCCGCACCCAACGATTTGAAAATGACCTTACACACATATATATTTACAATCCCTAAATACGGAATCGTTTATCTATCGTTAGCTCTTTATACAACGCGAATAAACGTTTGACAGAAAACGACAACGTGTTTTGTACATACTTTAAATATTACATTATGATTACACAGAATTGTTACTTTGTGAAATAGGTTTGACATAATTTCAGATATCGGAATGGATGATCGATTACAATACTCCCGGTGGTGTAGATAGTGATGGGTGGCAATACGCGACGGACTTCCCGGCGCCTTATCATGGGAAGAAATTGTTCACCGACTGCGTACGACGCAGACGTTGGTATCGTAAAGCTCAAATCGTCACAGAAGGACCCTGGTATCGTGCCGGTGGCACTGCTTTGTTGGACATCTCCCTATGGGTAATGGCTTAATATTATTAAAGTGAAACTAACTTATTACATCACCACATTTTTTTTTGTTTATCTTCAGAATGTCGCATTACATTTTTGATGATTGTTATTGAAAATTCAGAAGTTATCAACAAGAATCTGTGGTTCAGTGATAGAAATTAAGCCTCCTGCGCGGGCGGCCAGTGTCCGAATCCCAACCTAGGAAGCACTTTTTGTTATTAGTGATTTTAAAATGTGTCACTTGCATCGTCATTTCATAAGACCGCCCATTTTTTTTTGTATAGTATCCATTAACTCGAGTATTTATCTCACGAATCTGAGACTATACTCCTTTCAATGTAATGAGTTCCTTACTTTAGCTATTAGATGCCCCTTCGTGTGAGGCAGTTTTCCCACCTTGTCTTTTTCAAGGGACATTATATGATATCGTAACCGCTCCATTAACTCGTTCCCGGGGATAGAGTATAGTACGACAAATGACTAAACCCATCACATACGCAATAGGTCTTATTCTGGCAAGATTCTCTTAATCTTTTTTGTATTTGAAAGCCATGTGACTTTCCTGGTCAATGGGATTTGCAACAAAGATAATGGCACTTATAATTTTTATTTTTTAAGCATATAACTGCTCGATATTTAAATCTAAAGAAAATATTACTAGAAAAAAATCCACGCGGACCAGGCAGCAGACGGGACTCGAGCCTACACACCCTTCGCTATCCGGGCGAATGCACTGACCAATTATGCTACCGCGGCCATGACGGCCGTGTCGAATTCTTTCTAGCCTTACTTAAGCTGCAAGGCAGCGCCATCTCTTCGCGTTGTGGGTAACCCACAATGTCAAATGAATTCTTTTACAAGTATTAAATATTTGAAAGAAGCTATAGATGATATAGTTATAATTTTTATTTTTTAATGATTTTTATTTGATTCCTAAAAAATACAATTGGTAACCTAACCTAACCTTTAGGTAACCAATTGTATTTTTAGGTGATCAATTATCGTTTAGTATGTTTATTTAAGCATTTGACTGCTGGACAAAACTAAATGTACTAGAAAAAATTCCACGCGGTCCAGGCAGCAGACGGGAGTCGAACCGCACCCTCCGCTATCCTGGCTGATGAATATGCACTGATATTTTTTTGAGGAACATTTAAATATTTACCGAAGATAATTATGGCAGGAGTCTTACTTGCTCATTTCGTCCGGCTCAACTCGGTAAAATGAGCAGGGTTTATATTTCATACCCACGGTGGGTTAACCCACTAAGGCAAACACAGACATTACTCTTACACTGGTCACTCGACACGCATTCTGAGGATCGCAGTCTTCAGGATGCGTACTAAAGTGCGGATGTGGTCGTGGCCCACTATAAAGAATGACCACGCAAAGATTCCCTAAACCTAAAACTTAATGTTTCAACAGTGTTTCATTATCCTTATCATGCTTATGATAGAGAACGAAAAAGAGAGACTGCTGTCATATTTAGTTTTAACTTTAAAGAATCAATCATGCCAAAATCAGAACCAGCTACAAACTTATCATTCGACAGACGACAAAACCGGTTTATACCAGTTTTGTCGTCTGTCGTCGTCGTTCAGAGTAGTTTTTCATAAAGCCTTATTTTTTCAGAATGATGGCGAGGAAACGTCCGTTTGGGCAATCACTTTAGGGGGGGAGGCTATTTACCGTACCGGAGTAACTGCAAATACCCCTGCGGTTAGAAATTTACTTAATTTTTGGTAGGCGAAGCCACGAAGCGGGGATTTTTGGATTTACGGCGGCCTTGACTTGGGTTCTTGAAGGATTCACGTAACCTTTCTTAAAACATATGGATCTGACGGTTTGTATGGTGTGGGGTGTGGGAGTGCCGTACGAAGGAGTAGAATATAAGAAAAGAAAACTCGAGCGCGTCATACATTGAGAAGGGATGTTACGTGAACCCTCCAGTAGCTCCTATTTAAAAGACAGACGATTTGAACGCGACCAAAAATGAGAGCCATTTGTTGAAAAAATGTGTTAACTGCCCTAGACATTCGGCCCTACATAGATGACTTAGGTACGGTGGAAGTGCTTCATAAGGCGCAAGGTTGCCCCACTTATGTTATTCTGCCACGCTTGAGTAAATCCATAAATCCACGCGTGGACTCTCCTGTTATTATATGCATACGAAAGAATGTACCATTTTAAATGCTGATTTTGCAAATTTTAATTGTCTGTGATTGTAGGGGATGGTAGTTATCGGCCATTATAAATATGCTATTCCCAATAAAATTCATCTTCTATGTTACTATATCATATATGTAATAGTTACCTAGTATGTAATTATAACTACCTATTACCGAGTCATTAAGGAATACTTATAGTTTCTTTTCAATTGCGCACGCGCACTTGGCTGGATGTTATTATTTATCATTATAGCTTCACTGGAAATACATCATCATCATAATCAGCCGATGAACGTCCACTGCTGGACCAGGCGCGGTCCCAGGGGGGGGGGGGGGGGGGGTCACAGGGGACATGACCCCCCCAAAATCTAAGGTCAAATTGAAAAAGCTTGTGTCAAAAAGTGTCTTGTGGAATAATGTTTATTTTATTCCAGATACCTATTTTTTATTAGTGTAGTGAGTGACCCCCTCCAAAATTTCAGGCAGCGACCGCACCTGTGCTGGACATAAAATTTTCATTTCATGGGCTGCCTGCCCATTTATGTTCATAAGATAAAACCCGGTGAAAGACGGACGGGCAGCGGAGGCTCGTAGTAAGCTATTCACGGAAAGGAGTAATTACGAAACTTGGGCTTTTCTGTAATTGTCGTAATTCCTGCCTATGAATGCATTTTCTCGTGTGACGCAGTTTTCCATTCAATCCTCGTATTTTAAAAGCGATTGCGTGTCGAATAATTTGCTACTAAACTCCTTTCCGTGAACAGAGTTATGTTTTTACGGAACCCTAAAATAAGTAAATATACTATTCTATTTTAGGGCGTCCACTGGGAGCATGTAAATAGCCCTCAATCTTTCATTGCCATAAGTACCGACAATTACTTAATCTGGGCTGTGGGACGAAAAGGAGAAATTTATTATAGAGAAAACTCATGTAAAGAGAACGTAGCCGGAATAAGTTGGAGGATAATAGAAGCTCCAAAATGTAATAATAATTTTAATCAAAAATCTGTGGGAGCCAAGTCTGTATCACTAACTAAACATTCAGCTTGGGTTTTACTATCGAATGGTGTTTTTGCTGTTCGAACTGAAATAAGTGCAGATCACTGTGATGGAAAACAATGGAAATATTTAACAGGTATAGTGCTATAAATAATATTCTGTAAATGTCCAACGATTTCAAAAAATTGTTGTAAATATCCTACAAGTGCCAGCCTTTGATCAATTTCTTCCCTTCTATATTGCTTCACAGTATGCTTGTAAAACCGGTCTTAAAATATTCCAGTTCCAGTAGTCTATAATACTAGCTATAGGCTAACTATGTAGCGGAACAGACACCACAGACAAATAAACTTCCGCAGTAGACGTTTTTATATGTAAAATTGCTACTGCGCAGGCTTCCTTGTCTATGGTAGATGCTCAAGAAGTTGCTGAGTATGGCTGTTCCTGTTTAAAACATCATTCCATCTTTTAAATCAGAGCCTAGTATATCGCACTTCCTACTAATATTATAAATGTGAAAGTTTGTGTTTGTTACTCAGTCACGCAAAAAACTGCTGAACGGATTTGGATAAATTTTGGTAAACACTATAGTATGTTTATGGCCTGGAATGAGACAAAGGTTATCTTTTTATCTCGGAAAAATGTGAAGTTCCTGAGGTATTGTACAAAATCTAAATTTAACGCGGATGAAGTCTCAGGCGGCGGCTAGTATAATATAATAGTGATAGAATGAGCTTTTAACATGATTAGCTTTTAAATTAGAATTTTGAACTTGTGTGTCTAAGATCTTATTGCAGCAAATTCGCTTATTCTCGATTCAACTAAAACTAGATTCAACCCATACAAGAATGTTTTTGTTGTTAAATTGAAATTGATGTTTTGCCATTTTCTATGGGTAAGGCTAGTTTTCCTTCTTCCTAGTCGTGCGCTCTTGACAGAGTGGTCGTGGTCATGTCTCGGTCGATTCCTGTGCCACTGATGCAATCGCGATGCGTCGCCAGCTCGATGTTTTGCGTCACCGATTTAACAAGGTTTGTCCACCGTGTCGGAGACCGCCCGCGTGCCCTGAACTTTCCCTTGCACCACCAACCGTTCCATGGAGTTCTCATTGCGAGTAATATTCCGAAGAAAGCTAGTTTTAGATGAATCGAGATTTAGCAAAGGCCCTAAATCCGTCTATGAGATTTATGAATCCTCTTTTCAGAATGCGAAACAACGTTCAAAGACGTGTCGGTGATAGAGCAAGAGGTGTGGGCGGTGAGTTCGGACGGCGCGCTGCATCGACGGCTCGGAGTCTCCGCGGACAGTCCCGCGGGGAACGCGTGGCAATTGGTGCACGTCGGGCCTATAGTCCACGCCTCGGCTAGAGGAAGCTCCTTACACTCAACTTAGAGTTGACTAACCAATCACTACAACGCTACAGAAGTCCAGAGTTTTTTACCAGCATCACCGGCAACGCGTGGAATTGCGCACACTAGAGTAAATTATACAATTACGTGACTGTACAACGGCAAAGAACTTTAATTTTTTACCAGCATCGCCGGCAACGCGTGGAATTACGCACACTAGTATAAATTATACAATTACTTGACTGGACAACGTTAATGAACATAAGATTTGCACACCAGCGCCACTAGTAATGCCAGTCCTACTCAAAGAACACAGAAAGACGTTAGAAGGGCCTTGTGGGCGGGTTAGGCGCGCCACACTGTTGTGTGAGCGAATATTCATAACTTGGTTCTGATTGCGTCGTTGCTTAGGTGTGAGCGCTGATTAGGTCGATTGTTTGATGTCGCGTCGTTTGATTGGCTATAAAGTAGAAGTGTAGTGAGGGCGAGCCGGCTACATCGGTTACTGTACAAACGGTCTATGAGCACACTTCTAACCTCTTTCTGTGTTCTGTGGTCCTACTATAGTCCACGCCTCGGCAAGGGAAAGCTCGTTACACTAAACTAATGAACCACGTGACTGTACAACGTTAACGAAACCCGTTGAAAGGGTTTTATGTTAAATGAGTGGTGTTGAGCGTGAAAACTTAAGAAATTAATAACATTTAAGAACCCAAGATTTTAACTAGCGCCACTGGCAACACATGGAGTTGTGTGTAGGAGTAAATTTTACAATCACGTGACTGTAAAAATGTTAAAGAACTTTAAATTTTTACCAGCGCCACTGGTAACGCGTGGCTATTGGTGGACGCCGGGCCTATAGTCCATTACTTCGCCAAAGGAAGCTAGTTACACTAGAATAAACTAACCAAACACGTGACCAACGCCAAAGAACTAAATATTTTTACCAAATAATCATGTCGCGTATTGCGTCAGTATTGGCTATTATAGTGACTTCAGAGAACACTTGAGTAAGAATGTCTACAATTTTAGTTGTGATGAAAACAAAGTTAAAGTCACTCTACGCAAGGGAAACAATGAGGGTTTTCTGGAATGACGGGCACCAGGTGGCAGTACTCAGACGAAAGGTGTACTTATCCGTAAAATCTCATATGTCTTCATAGTCTATGGATCCATTTAAATGCTCGTCCGATTAGTTCGCGCAAAAAACTTTCATACAAAAGACCTCACGTCACAGTAGCGCCAACTGGTGACATATATTTTCATAAACAAAAAAGGAAATAGAACTGTACCCCTAGCACGAACCATTAACTAATAACATTTCGCACTCGCAAACTATTCGAATGCGATAATGGTTCGTGCTAGGGGTACTGAAGTTAATTGCGATGGTTCTTTCGCGATTTAAATGTGACTACTATTTACATTCCTAGTATTTATTATTTCCAATAATATTTATTAAGCTTAAATAACTACTGCCTAGTTTTATTTTAAAGCTGTGTTCGTTAGCAATATAACCTTCTTTGTATTTATCTATTTGTTTATAAGTAAACAGCTTTATGATCGCTTGTGTGTATCATTCCAAATAAAGTTATTTAAATTACCAGCCTAAAAAGATATTAATGAAAATTTTAAAGAATTTAATTAGTGCGTAAGACGTATCTTTATATTTTAAATTAATCCGCTCATTTATAATTTATGTAGGAACAAGAAGTAACTAAGTAAGGAATCTTTCTCATTTATGTAACAAACACAAGTATTTCGTTGTGATAGATAATCATGGAATCGAAATGCATAAACTTATTATTTTCTAGTCATTACATGACATAATAAAACAATTGTGAGGTTGTTTTATTATGCGTGAGATAAATATGTAAATGTATCTTTGTCTATTAGATATTTTCAAACGTATTAAAACTTATAATGCAAAGATAAACCATGAATAATTATATTAATTTATTCGAATACTTTATTTTATTTTCGAAACTATAAAGGAAGAAACAGACTTTTTACTCGTGATTTTCTATGATCAGTGTGTCAGTGTGTGCGCAACGCGTCGCATCAGAGGTTCCTAATGTGTTTTCATGGAGAATAGTAGATTTGATTTGACTTACCCGGGTCGCGTCGCATTTCAAAAGACTTTTTCTGCCTTTATTCCTCCCCAGTCACAGAGCATTATTATTAATGAAATGTCAATATAAAAAACAGACTATAGATGGACTTGATACCTTTCGGGGCATTATTGTAATACAATTATGTATACAGCAAAATGTGCAAGACACAATAAGAGCAAAGTCAAGATGTACAATTGTACAGACAGCCATACATCAAGTTATCGAATCGTATAACAGGCAAAATAAAGATCAGTGAGTGGGAGAAACTTAGCCAGAGGCGTCTTTAGCCATTTTACACAACATAACATTTCACAAATAGGGGAGCTCACTGCGCACTCCTACTATCTTAGATTAAAACAAAAAGGGTAGATACGGCACTAGCCTCACAAAAGTGATCCGCATCAATTGTGGCCCAAGGCCACAATCGCTTTAGTCACAACTTGACATGCAAATGACGTACATGTGAACGTCAAAAAGATATATTGTTAAAATTTTGTGATTATATGATAAAACAATGCCTAAGTGTTGTTTTAAAAAGTGCTCAAATTGCTCAAGAACTAAAAATAAAACCGACGGCATCACTTTTCATTCGTAAGTACTATAAAACATATTTTTTCATAAAAAAATCTGTTTGTTTTGAATCTTATTCGGTATTTGTTATTATGAAAAAGACAACAACACTCGTAAACGTTTGTATGAGGGAGAAAAAGCATAAGCGCGAATATTTGCCATTGTAATGTCAGTCGAGAGTAAAAATTGGGTAGAGTTAACAAAAAAAATATTTCGTATTTTTTTTTTGGAATATTAATTTATGTAGGTAAAAAATATGCTGCATTTATTAAATCATTACATTTTGGTTTCTTCGAAGAGGTTTATTTATTTTTTCAGACATTTTAGCTTTAATATACTCTGTACTTACAGAAATGGCGTTTTCATTCTTTGTAGGGTTTAAAATTGTTTTTGTAATCTTCTTCTTCTTCCAGTGCCTCTTCAATCCTGCAGGTTGGCCGTTAGCTTCCTGTATGTAGTTCTATCAGCAGCCAGCCGGAACAACTGTTCGACGGAGGCAATACCGGTCCACTCCCGGATATTCCTTAGCTTCTTTCGATTTAGAATGGTTCTATGTTTTGGAAACTAATACCAAAAGGATAGAGCGCGTGAAAGTTTGGGAGAGAAGGCTTGTAAAGTCACTTCTAAGTAAAAATTGTACCAAGACGTGACGTCATGGGAAATTTCATATCAACATATCTCTGTAATGTTTTGATTATGTGAATAAGAAATAAATACTTGTCCAATACTTTTATTAATCTACCTGGCCGACGAAGAAAAAAAGGTTTTGTCATTAACCCTATTGCCACACAGTAGGTAGGTACCTAGTAAGATTCTTACTTCTGTTATAAAGCCCAAGGCATAACTTATGTTTATTTTTATTTATCGATGATGATTATTGTTTTTGTTATTTAATTTTACCTTTATATTTTTTTATTATTTAAATGAATAATTTAAAGTATAGTTTAGATTAGATTTATAAATCAAGCAATTCATGCTTAGAAGAGAAATATAATAAGTGTTTCGGATTAGATTCTTTGAAGAAAAGCTCGATGAAGGAGCTCGATGGCGCAAGTGGTTAGCGCGTTCAGCTGCGATCGTTGAAGTTAAGCAACTTTCGCAGTGGTCCGTCATTGGATGGGTGACCAAAAATTTACTATCTCGAGCTCCTCCGTGCTTCGGAAGGCACGTTAAGCCGTTGGTCCCGGCTGCATCTGCAGTCGTAAACACCCACCAATCCGCACTGGGCCCGCGTGGTGGGTCATGGCCCAATCTCCCTATTCCATTCATAGGGACGGCCTGTGCCTCAGCAGTGGGGACATTAATAGGCTGATGATGATGATGATGAAATACTGTAGACGATGAAAATTTCCAAATCCAGCAGTACAAGGTATATTAAAAAATTGTTGACGGTATCGTATAAAAAACCTACTTTTAGTAGGTACGCTTGATAACTGATTTTTTATCAGGTGATATAATAATGTGTGTCTGATTTTAACTTTTTTAATATTATTTTAGTTTTTTTTTTATTTATTGAACAATCAGTTTATGATTGGTATTGAAATATAATAAGTGTAAAGTTTCTAGTAAAAATTGTATCTCGATTAGATTCTTTTAAACATTGAATACAATAAAAATGACCACATCCAGCAGTATAAGACACCTTAAAAAAATGTTGACGTTATCATGTAAAAAACCTACTTTTAGTAGGTATACTTGTAAACAGTTTCATTCCCTCAGCTTTTCAAAGTAGATTGAAAATTGCTCAATGTGGATTTTTTTTATTGAATTTTAATAAAAAACTTCTATTTAATAAAAAATACTTTTATTTTTTTCTCTGACGCTACTCTGTAGTGACGTCGAGTACTGGTCGCGTGATTGTTCGGTATTGCAGTGACGCGGATCTCGCCGTCCCGTTCGCGGTGCCGTTGAAACTTATATTGCTGTTTCGTTCATTCGATTGTATCTTTACAAACAGGTGGATGTGTGAGTGTTGCATATGTAGTAAAGTGGGATCAGTTTTTGTTTGATGCAAGTAAGAGCGTACCGTATCTACCCTTTTTGTTTTAATCTAAGCCTACTATACGAGTAAAAAATATTTCTAGGAAGGCGGTTTTTTTTTTCAAAAATTAAACTAGTTAATTATTACATTACGTAATGAACATTAAATTAACTACAAAAAGTCACTTTTCGTGGCTTGGCAAAATAACTCACTCACTTCAATTTTATTGAAAACTACGTTTGTCGCTTAACTCCAAAATTATTGACTTTACGGCAAAAAATTGCAACTTTTTGTTGTAAGTAATTCTTACCGTTTTGATAATATTGTACTGACAAATTTTGAACAATAACGGAAATTCGTCAGCTGTATTCCTCAGAAGCTTCGGACTTTAGGCAGAAAGCACCGGTCGCTTTCTACCTGACGCCCGAAGCTTCTGAGGAGTTGGACTTCTGCTACATCCAGGACAAATCCCCTTGGCTCCAGTGGTCATTCTTTTACCCCTTACACACCTACCGAGATGTGACGGCCGCGGAATGTAATTTAGGCAAAGTAAGGATTTGTTTTCTACATTTAAATCTTTTATTCCGAACCCTCTAACAACTACTTGCGACCCCTACCGGCTGCATCGCATTATTCGCAATTGATTGCCGGCATGTTTTCAAACGAATCACGGAAACAGGTGCCACCGGTGCTGGCACGAGCGATGTGTCACTCATTAAATATATTTTTTTATGTGTTTTGAAATTTATTCCATAAAAGTTTATATTGTAAAAGCCTCTCGTGGAGCGCCTTGCTTTACTGTAATTAAAAGGAGCTCCAGATGCTATACAAAACGTATGCAAAGTGGAGCTCTTTTTACGATGGTCATTTAAAGTGCCGCGGCCGGCCAACGCTTGCGCCGAGAAGGGCTTCAGAGCAAGCAGCACCGGCGCTTGGCGCCCCATAGGACCGTGGTAAAAACGCCTCTGTATAAGCCCACGTCTTCGTGGACGCAATATTTAGCATTTCGTTATTTTTTTTCGTGTTGTGCTGTTCGAAGGTGCTAAATTGACCTCTATCTCCACAATGTAAAAAACTATTTTTTATGTAATTGGGAACAACTGCTGAATATGTAAAAAAACAAGTTGGTTTATAGGTGCATACAGCAATTTTTATTTTTTTAACACTTTCACTGACATTTTATTATTTATTTAAATTGCAAGATGTCATTATTAGGGCGCTTATTAACGAGACGATTTCTACTAGGGCAGGTGCCGGCTAAGCTTGTTCACTATTTGTACGTTTGTACCGACTCCAAACAGTCATGTGTAGCGCCGGTGTCGTTAACAAACCTGCATAATTGCTCAATGCCTAGACCCGGGTAGAAATCGTCGCGTCAACAAGCACCCTTAGAGATGTAACAACTGCAAATAAGGTGGCTCCCACTTGGGATACGTTTTCGTGCGAATCCTACTCGTACGCATACCTTAGAACAAAGTCCCGAACAAATATTGCCATTTATTTCTAAAACGGTCGAACGATTCTAATTAAAGGGTTAGTGATATTATTTTAATAATAATATTGCGCCTATTTGACAGACAAATAAAAAGGAAATTACTCAGCACAACCATTGTTTATGCGTGCGTTGGAACGAATGAAATTGAGATTTTTTACAAAAACGCATCCAAAGTGCGAGGCTCCAAGACTTTTGTTGCCACGTATCATGTTATGATAACTATTAAAGAAAATGAAAGGAGGTAAATGCAGTTTTCAATTAGTTTTATACAAGTAATTTATTAGTGTTGATTGAAGATTAAAAACGGTGTTTTAAACAGTTGTTACAACACTAGAATCGAGAATTTGCAAGACAACTATTTTTATTATAGAAATCAAACATTTTTTTCCATGTAAGACGCTTATAAATAACCTTGTTACAACAAATAGTCTAATTCGTATCTAAGATAATGATTGTTGGGATCGTTTTGTATTCTAGGGTAGCCGGCCACTAACGCGTCCTGTCCTCCTATGTACAGGGTGTTGTAAATCTTCCAGTAAACATCACGAACTTTTCTTGCAGGATGGAACAAACCCTGAAAATAAATAAAGAATGCTATCATTATGCAGTCATTAGTCCTTTAACACCGTAGCGTAGTTCTAAAAGTGTTAAGCCACATCAAACTTTCACTAAAAATGGAGCACTTTTCAATGGAGGAAATGAAGGCCTCACCAGATGCGACGTCTCGAATATGTTCGGCCACACGTGGTTCAGAAACAATAGTGACAGTAGACATACTAACCTGTAAATCGTACTAGATACTGCATCTTGACCGGCCCTAAAGCAAAGTGGGCATCCACTGCGTCCCTGACTCGATTGAATTCAGAGACAAAACAATAATGATAAGATAGATAATAGACACACCGACCTGTAAAGCGTACTGCAGTATCTTGACGGGTCCTAAAGCGACGCGCATTCAGACAATAGACACACTAACCTGTAAAGCGTACTGCAGTATCTTGACGGGTCCTAAAGCGACGCGCATTCCTTCCACCGCGTCCATGAAGGCCTGCACCAGATGCGGCGACGTCTCGAATATGTTCGGCCACACGTGGTTCAGTAAATGAATGAGCGCGTCTTCGCATCCGAACCCGTAAACACCCAGAGCCATATGCTTTATGGCAGCACACGCCGTTTGACGATGCACCAAATCCCTGATGAAATTTGTTTTGTACAGGTAAATTTCAAGTTTTTAAAAGTCATTGTCAATTCAATAAAAGGTAAGAACCCTCGCTTCATACCCGAACTTGAATTATAATTACATAATATAGATTTAATGATTGTGAAACCGCACTAAAATCTATTGTGTGGTTTGGGAGTTGTAAGCAAATAGACAGACTCGAGATTAATTAATTAGTTTAAAAAACTGATAATTGACAAAAAAAGTGCAGTCTGTTTTTATTTTGACTTCATTATACGATAATAGACATAAATATCAGAATGGTAATTTAACCCTTTACGAGTTTTAATTCCATGTATTATTTATTAATAATCCATGTATTCAATTGTATCCCAAATGGCACAATGAGGTACACTAAATGTTTTGCCGAATCACTTCATAGTATTTGTAAATAGATATTTCATTGCTAAATGCTAATGTAAACAAAAAGATTTGCATTTATAATAACGGAATAAGTTATACCTGTCCATCAGGGCATCTTCAAGTAACGGGCATACAGCATAGATGTAGTCCTTGCCCATCTCACCAATATATTCAAATAAGAAGGAGAGAGATTTTAAGACTCCATTTTGGACGTTTAGCTCTGGGACTCTGTATTCGTTCATTAACGCAGGCAATACTGTGAAAGGTGAACAAGTCTCGGCGACAATGGCGATAGCCACAGTAGTGCAAACCCTGAAAATTAAATCACAGAATTAAGAACATTTCTTTCATTTTAAAACTTTTAATTTCTAAAATTAATAGTCTGTGCTCGCGACTTTGTCGTCCTATTAGTATACTTTGGAATTCAACATATCCGGGAAAGCTGAGATAACGGTAAAAATTTCAGAAAATATAGCTGTGTACCAATAGGTGTTGTAGTTTGTTTTTCATGGCTGCAATTGGGTATCTATTACCTTTATGGGATAAACGAACCTAAAACTTATTGCTATTATATTTAAAGATAAAATTCGGTCCTAGTGCGTGTCGTGCCACGCGCAGTGTAGGGTTCCGTAGTTGCCTGTAGTTACCACAATATATTTGAGCAGTCTTTATTTTCTATATCAGAAATTAGAAAAACCAATTAATATCAATCTATGTAGCTCAATTAAAATACCTAAATCAGATTCAATCTGCGTCTCAAACTCAAAATCAATTATTATTTTTTTAAATACGAATGATAACCGCCGATTTTCTTTTACAACAAAAAAAAATCTACTATTTTGTCGGCGTGATCAATATACATATTTCCACAAAATAACAGCTCTTTAGTCCTGATCTAGTCTTTAAGCAAGACCGAGGACGACAGATGGACATGACGAAACTATAAGGGTTCCTTGTCGGGACTACGGAACCCTAAAATAGCCAAGAGTGGATTTTTCAAGTTCTAATCAAAACGATACCAACGAGCCAATAAAACACAATTTAAAAAGTTAAAACTGTCAATAACTAATTATTTTACAACACCGAAGTCTATAAGAATACTATAATTTTACCTGTTTTGTCGTTCTTGAACTTTCAAATTATTGAGCAGAGTTGCCAATACGTCGTGCGGACCAATAGCTTTGGCGATATAACCAAAAGTGTTCACAGTTGCTCTCCTAATGGCTTTTTTGTGTGCCTTCAAAAGCTCCAAAAGTTCAAAGCATATTCTCATCCATTCACGCGCTGATACAAACTCTGGACCTCTGTCTGCGATACGGCCAACTAAATCAATGCAATTTTCTTGTACTTTCTCGTGTCTGTAAACCAAATATTATTTTGTAAAAAAAATATAAAAAACTATCGAAGATATAATGCCATTTTAGACTCGATAGTTACATGTAAGTTAACATTGGTATCGATTCTGGCGTGATTCTCTAAACTTAAAACTAAATTTAACATCAGCCTCTCCTTTTCATTCTGTATAGAGATTGATAGGGATGCACTGTTGTCAAATTTATGTTTAGCTTTAGAGAATCATGCCAGAATCGACATCATTATAGTAAGTGAGAACTTCATAGCTTAGAGCAGAAGAGAAATAACGATCAATCATTTATTTATTTATGGTACATAGGTAATACATTATGTTAATATGCTAAATTAGACAGTCCAGCTATCGGACATACAAATATAAAATTAAAAAATTTCATACATTAAAAAAGAATTTGGTTTGGCTTTGGTATAAATCAGGAGTAAAAAAACATACCTGTTTTTAAGAATAGGTGTGAGTCTAGGTAGTAAATCTTTAATGGGCGGAGTCATTTTCGTCATACCAATAACGTTGACAATAGCTTTTAACGCTCCCAAAATTGAACCGAGTACCTCTGGATATTCTTCACCCAGATATTCGTATAATACTACGCCCAAGTGACCCATCAACTTTTCCTGAAAATAGAAGGTCAGTTGTCAATACTGCTCTTTATATAAAAAAATATGATAATTTAGTGTATGTGAAGCAGAGAAAACAATATAATTTAACTTTCATTTTAATTCAACATAATTTACAAGAAAACAGCGAAACTTTCTCTATGATTATGTGCAAATACAGCGGCATAAACAATAACATAAAAGCATTTAAAATTAGATTTAGTTATTAAAGAATCAGCAAATAAAATATGACAGGCACCTCTTGACACGTCTTCATAACTACTGCTATTCTAGAAATTAAATCAGCCGCTTGTTGTCGCACTTTGGCGGATTTATTATTCATACGCCACAGAATGATACCACAAATTTGTGGTAGGTATGGTTTCACGCGCTTGCCCAGTTGATTCACTATTGTACCAAACCCGTTCAGCATCACCACATCCTGAAGAAACAAAATTACATTTTACTAACATACAAGCTCGGTAGAATAGTTCTGCAACCTGTACCCTTAGTACAAGTTTTACAATTACGAAAACTATGATAGTTTTCGTGAGCTCGCACTCGTACTAAGGGTACTGATTTTATTGTATTTGTTTCAATACAAATAAACATTGTTTAAATTCTTATTTTATTTATTTATTTTCATTTGGGAAACATACAGTTTTACACAAATCAATTAAGTAACACTTATTACTATTTCATAAACCAGTTAAGTTTCCACAGACTGAAACATTCTTAAACTTACATAATTTACTTAAGATTACGTACAATATTTAGAATTGTGTGAATAACAGAAAATAATTACTAAGTGTTTGGGTAAAACGACCTTATAGCATTCATTTCTAAATTGGTTGTAAGAAAGGCAAAATATATCCAATCCCCTGAAGTATTTATTATAGCTGTGACATGCTCTAGAAATGAAACTATTTGCAGCAAACTTGGTCCTGCTGAATTGTATTACAAACGTGTTGTCAGACCTAGTTCTATTTGGACAACGGAAACCAATTCTCTGCAAAAGGAACGGCGAATCTACAAGGTCATTAGTAAGTTTGTAAAGAAATAATTGATCTCTAACAGTTCTGCGATGTTGCAAGGATGTAACCTGTAACTTTGCTTCACAATCATTAATAATCAAGTTAACATTAATTCTGTTTTCTAAGTACTTTACAAATTTGTGTTGAATTCTTTCAATAGCATCAATGTATGTATTATACTGTGAATTCCATACACAAGAGGCATATTCAAGGTGTGGTCTCACAAATGCATTATACAGTAATATCAAAGTAGATGCGCAACGGAATTCCTTTCCAATACGCATGATGAAACCTAGCATTCTATACGATTTTGCAACAATATTGCTAATATGGTTACTGAAAATAAGTTTGTCATCAATGATTACCCCAAGGTCAACCATCTCGGTTTTTTTTGTGAGAATAGAATTAGTTAATTTATAGCTATAATTAATTGGCATTTTCTTCTTTCTTTTCAAAATCGTTTCTTAGGTTTTCACGCACATCACTCATTAAATAAAACTAGTTTTTCACGGGTTAATGCATGAAACTTTATTTATTTATTGACGTTTCGCAGCCTTTACAGTCTGCTTCGTCGGAATCAATTTGTTATTTTCAAATTTCAAATAAAAAAATAATTCCGACGAAGCAGCCTGTAAAGGCTGCGAAACGTCAATAAATAAATAAAGTTTCGTGCATTAACCCGTGAAAAACTAGTTTTATTTTCAAAATCGGTTCAATAGATCGCTACATTACCCCCAACAACCTCACAAACTTTACTTCTTTTTATTATTAGTGTTATAGATAACTAAATTTAAAGTTTGAAATGTCCACTACATATCAAAGAACATATTTATTTGTTCAACAATTCTTTCTTAAAGTTGGTTCAAGTATAGTGAAAAATACTCACCTCCGTAGTCTGTTCTTGGAATGCGTATAATATGCCGTCAATGAGAGCTTCTTCCAGTTTCGAGTCAATATCAGCGGCGCCCAAGTTAGCGAGTATCTTTTCAATGGATTCCATTACCATTTTCCTGTATTGTTCATTGTCGTCTTTGAGATCATCCACTATTCTGTTTATGATTTCTGATGCACCAACCTGTATAAAGATTATACTGTCTAGTAAATTTAATAAAATTTCACTTTTTTTGTCAATGCATTACTCTTTACCAACAGGACCTGTCCCTGTATCATTAGCACCACAATATATAGTACAGGTATCACGGTTTTATCTTGTCTGTCAATCTCCATAGTTATAAGAAAATAAAGCATAATAATAAAAAACACGAATGCATGTAAGAAAATTAAGAGTAAAAAAATATAGTATTTATCTCGTTTTACAGGTTAACCCGTTTATTAATGCTACTATATTTGTATATACATATTTGATATCTTATTAAGGACTTTCACATGATACCTATATTGTAGTAATTAGAAGTTATTTTTTAATTGAAATAAATATTTGACATTTTGACATTGCTGTTATGTCTATTTAAACAGTTTAGGTATCCTATATTACTCGATATTGTGAAAGGATTCTAACGATACCCAACACACATCTATACCGGTTCAGGCGTTTAGAAGTTATGGTGGAATAAAGAATTGTGCATACATACAATACAAGAACCCTGAATACATTACACTTTTTCTTACTATTTTTTGGGCAGTCGTGTTAAAACGAGCTATATCTCTTATTGCGGTGCTAATGCTAGGACAGCAGATTCAGGTTAATGGTATATAAACCTCAAAATGTTAACTTCAAATGCGCATTATCTTTGAGTAACCCCCACGGTTATAGAATAAACATTTCTAAAATAATACTATGAAATAAATAAATCGCTATACCTTATTGGCAATTTCGACAGTGGTGTCGACAAGCTGTCGATAGTTACGTCTATCGAGAGCCATACGATGGTTCCAAAAGTGCTTGAAGAAATGCGGCAGAATTTCGTCCATTATATACTGTGGTTCCACACCGTCTGTACCGCAACATTGTTTCACCACCTGAAAGGTGTAATAAAATTAATAATATAGTTACAATTAAAGCAGATTCACAGGTTTACGTCTATAAAAAGGTGTGATTGTGGTTATAAAGATTTAAAATTAAATTGAATAGTGACTTTAGTAAAACATCCCACTGAAATCTATAATTAACCTTATAATTCATTGTAGTATTTGTTATAGTATGGAGCCCAAGCGGGGATTTTGTATTTTAGTAGAGCGTGGTAGAATAACATAATGGTGGGAACATTGCACACTATACCGGTGGGAGTACTTCACAAGGTGCATGATTGGCCCCCTTATGTTATTCTACCGCGCTCGTGTAAAACCCAAAATCTCCACATGGGCTCCCCTACTATTATGATTTTATCCTTTACCTTCAATACAATTTTTTTCATTTCTTCGTCTGGCGACTGGAACTCACGAATAAGGATCAACATCACTTCACGCGTATAGTAGTTGGCATACTCGGCGTCCATAAGAGGGATCAGGTAACCAATAGCCTTGAGGAATGCGGCCAAACCTTTCCCGCGGTGAGTACGAATACCTTTCCACAGGGGTTTTAGTACTGAATCGAACGATTCGATACCGTACGGTGTAGCAGCTTCGGCTAGAGCCGCACTCGCTAAGGCGGTAATCGTACGCACTTTCTGCTGTTCATCGACCAATCCTGCAATGATATTCTTTATTGTATAAAATGACAAAGCACACAAAAGTAAGATCACATTAGACGGAGAGAAATCACAATCTTTATTGCTAAATTACAATAGCTTACAAGCAAACAATGACGACTTTAGAAAAAATATTTTATAGATAAATAATAACAATGTAAATGAAATAAAAAAAATAGGATACTAGGTAAAACATACCGTGTTCAATGATTTCTACCAGCGATTTGAGATGCGGTAATATAGCGCAACCCATCAAAATAGCGATTTGTTGAACAATCTTGATACCAGTATGTCTCGCCTGCCAGGACTTTTTAGATCTGCACACAGCCTTCAAGAATGGCAGTAGTGAAGGTATGCCTGAAAAATAATAACTTTAGTTAGTTTAACAATGTTTTCAAGATATTTGATTCTTAGGTTTTCACGCACATCACTCATTAAATAAAACTAGATTTTACGGGTTAATGCACGAAACTTTATTTATTTATTGACGTTTCGTAGCCTTTATAGGCTACGTCATCGGAATCAAACTTTTATTTAATTTGTCGAGCTACCTTCGAAAGACTTTTATTGAGTGTTCGGTTATTTCAAAGTTCGATTTTTAAAGTATAAAACTTTCTATTTGTCTATGAATGAATTTATTGTTTAATTTACTTAATAAAGTATTTTATTTAAAATATTTTTTTGTAATTTTGAGTTTATTTATTTGACCCTAATTACCGTAAACTACCACCGGTTCCAAAATTGGGAGACCTTTCTGAGAAGAACCGGCGAAACAAACTCAAGAGAGGTTTTCTATCTCCTTCTTATGTTAAATTATGCTAACCAAAAGAACTAATAGTATCTGTTGGTCTTGCAGTGTGTGCTCGGGGTTGGGATTTCATCTCCTGTATAATGGGTTCCCAAGCTGGTGGTATATACCAACCATCTTCCCTTTTGAAAGGAGATTGCTCAAATTGGCCTAAATGCACAAAAAATATTGACATAAACGGTAATTCTTGGCGTAATTTATACTTTATTTTACAGTCATTAGATTTTAACGGACACCTTTGTATAATATATTCATTTTAAAAAGGACTTTTTATTTTACCGGTTTGAAAAACATACGAATCATTTTTATTGACTGGCTGGCTTGGTGTAGTAACATCAGCCAAAGACTGATCGAAGTTGTTTATATAACATAAAATGAAATCTATTTTGTAAAGATCGATAAAATGAAAACATTTTTTTCTTACACTGTAGTATTAATATCCACAACTATACTATCATTTTCACTACATCCAAATATGCTAAGACAATTATTATAGATGGTAGGCGACATCATAAAGTCTATTGCCATACATTTTTCGCCAAACACCTCCATAAACACATTATAAGGTGTGATACACTAAAATCTAAAATATGGTTATAATGTAAACATAACAAAAATAATGAAGCTACTGAAGATATGGCTATATAACCTAAATCTCTTAGCTTTCTTTGATTAACGAGAGTTTAAAAATTCTCTCTAATCTGTGTGGCTCATTCACAATCATAACACAGTTTCTGTCACAGAGTACCTTCCTTATTATAACCGGAAATGCATAGATGATACCTGATTTTAAAAGTTACTCTTGTGCATAAACTTTGAAAACAGGCAACTATCTGTTAATCTTATACATAATGTTCATGTTGAATGAATCTTATACATAATTTCGGTACTTGGCTTGATTTCCCTAATTTACTATATAACTTATTAGTTTTTATTATTTTAATACCTTACCTACCTACCATAAATTTGCAAACATAACCTCAAAATCGTTCAGTGTATATGGATTATAGAAGTTCTCAGTGGTGTCCGTCAATAATGAGCGTTTCTACAGTAATTTATATATAATTTCGAATCTAGGAAACAATTTTTAATGATTATTGGACTTTAGGCCAAACATGTATGAAAGCTGAGCAATCTCCTTTGGATTTTTTTTTTAATCTCAATAGCCTCGCGTATCATTCTAGGAACGAATCGTTGCTCAGTTGTTCAGTCTTGTGTCAGTGTGTTCTTTTTGTTTGCTAAATTTAAAATAAGAAGGAGGTAGAAAGCCTCTCTTGAGTATTTCTTTCGCCGGTTCTTCTCAGAGAGGTATCCCAATTTTGGAACCGGTGGTAGTTTACGGTAGTTAGGGTCAAATAAATAAACTCAAAATTACAAAAAATAATTTGAAAATAAAATACTTTATTAAGTAAATTATAGTCTGTCCATTATATTATTATCTTTTTGTCACATTGATTGAAGTAAAAATAGTGACACCCTATCACATAACTCGTTCGATTTAAAGCTATAATCGATTTTATGCTATAACATTGTTTAATCGATTATAAGTATCGAAATTATTTTAGTTATCAAAAATACTGGTGTTTAATAAATTATTACAAAATTTCATTAGATTACCTAGTATTATTTTACCTAGTACAAATATTTGTGTGATGAGCACGAGTATTTGTTCTGTCTCTGGGTGTGATTTGTCTATATTATGTATATATACATAACAAAAAAAGAAGTATACTTTTTATATGTCTGTTTATTCTTATACTATTACTAATACTCTGTACAATTAGATTAATTGATTATAATTAATAATTTAATTTTAAAAAAGGTTTATAAAAAATTATATCTTTGACTTCTTTTTTTCTTACAATTTGGTTGTACTCATTTATTTCTACCGATTATTTGTAATCTGTGGCACAATCTTAGTAATCATTATGTGTGGCACATCACTAAGTGGGCGGTACCTGTCCATGAAGTACAATATTATTTGTATGACAGTTTAACGTAAACAATACAAAATTTCATGGGCGTCGATCTGTCAAAAAGATAATAATAGAATGGACAGTCTATAAATAATAAATTCATACATAGACAACAATGAAATAACCGAACGCTCAATAAAAGTCTTTCGAAGGTAGATCGACAAATTAAATAAAAGTTTGATTCCGACGACGTAGCCTGTAAAGGCTACGAAACGTCAATAAATAAATAAAGTTTCGTGCATTAACCCGTAAAAAATAGTTTTATTTAATGTTTTAAAGAATTAATAAGTATTTTTATTAATACGTACCCAATGCAGACGCGACCACAGCGAAAGCTCTGGCGGTGGTGTTTCGTACGTACTCATCAATGTTGTCAATATCAGGTCTCATAGTAGATATCATGGTCGCCAAACCGGCAGCTTTAGCCAGATTCGAGATAATTTCACGACCTTCCACACGGGCGTAGTAGTCTTCATCGATCAAGAGAGGTTCTATTACGACCAAGATCTAAAACAAAAGGGTTAAAATTTCAATATTTACAGTCACGAAATATAAATGTTAGGTATAATGGTAAGTTATTTACCTTATGTACGTAAGGTCGCACTAAATCGTCCAGTTTGTATAGAATTCTGTCAATAACTTTGACTAGCAAGTGTCTCTCCTGATCTTCTAGTGTGGGGCTCATGAGCAACGGCAGTATCTGATTGAACAACGGCCCCGCGCCAAACTCACGGGCTTTGTCCGTTATTTGACGCAATGCTGCTTTGCACATCGGTGGAGTTCCGTTCTGGAATAAATACATACATATAATAATAATCGATCATCATCAGTCTTTTTCATACTCATTTCCTATATTCTATTAACTGTTATACTCCACACAAGCACCTGTTCCAAATCCCAGAGCCAAGATTACCCGACACTATATTGATGATATCCCAGACGTCAGTCTGTATTAGATTTTTTGTAAAGCTGGGGGGCGATGCTAGAATTACAGCAGTATTTTTGAGAGCGGGCAATAAGCCGGCGGACTCAAAGTCCTCCAGAAGCTTTGAAAAACTATTGAACAATATCATTTCTGTCAATATCAGTCTTAATATGAACATGGATAATACGAAAATCATTTCCAACGCCCTGTTAGTAAAAATTGGGAACACTACACTTGAAGTTGTCGATCATTACGTTAACTTGGGACGGACAGTCCAGTGAGGTAAGTCCGAATTTTAGAAAGAGATCATTCATCATATCCAGCTCGAATAGGCAGCGTTCGGTAAGCTACGCAAAATATTCGCATCCAAATTACCTCAATGTCTTAAGATAAAAGTCTAGTCTTTGACCTGTGTGTGTTGAAAGTTTTATTACCTACGGAAGCAAAACGTGGTCGTTTACTACGGGTATCGTAAGAAGGCTCAAGGTCACACAGCGAGTAATGGCGAGAGCGATGCTCGGTATTTGGCTACGCGATAGAATCAGAAATGAGGAAATCCGGAGGAGAACAAAAGTAACCCATATCGCTCGAAGAAGTGCTGTGCTAAAGTGGCTATCCGACAACCTTGTGACGGTCGTAGGAAGCTCATGGATGAGAGTAGCGTAGGAGAGAGTAGCGAGTGTTGCTGAGGCTGAGCGTCTTCGGGCTTCATTAAGGGCAATTGCTGGGCGCCTTTAGGCTGCGGCTCTAGGAGGCCCATAAATAAATAAACTCACTTTAATTTTGAGCACGAGTTCCATGATTTTCCTCTTTCAATTCTTCTGGGGAGAGCGCGTCCTCGTCGACGTCCACGAGCAGTTTGTCGAAGAACTGAGCGTCTTCCGGCTTCATGAAGGGCAATTGTTGAGCGCCTTTAGGCTGCGGCTCAAGGAGGCCCATAAACAAATATACTCACCTTAATTTTGAGCAGGAGCTTCATAATTTTCCTCTCTTTCAATTCTTCTGGGAAGAGCGCGTCCTCGTCGACGTCCACGAGCAGTTTGTCAAAGTACTGAGCGTCTTCCGGATTAATGAAGGGTAGTTGTTGAGCGCCTTTAGGCTGCGGCTCTAGGAGGCGCGTAAATTAATAAACTCACCTTAATTTTGAGCAGGAGCTTCATGATTTTCCTCTCTTTCAATTCTTCTGGGGAGAGCGCGTCCTCGTCGACGTCCACGAGCAGTTTGTCAAAGTACTGAGCGTCCTCCGGCTTCATGAAGGGCAGTTGTTGAGCGCCTTTAGGCTGCGGCTCTAGGGAGGCGCGTAAATTAATAAACTCACCTTAATTTTGAGCAGGAGCTTCATGATTTTCCTCTCTTTCAATTCTTCTGGGGAGAGCGCGTCCTCGTCGACGTCCACGAGCAGTTTGTCAAAGTACTGAGCGTCTTCCGGATTAATGAAGGGCAGTTGTTGAGCGTTTTTAGGCTGCGGCTCTAGAAAGCGCGTAAATTAATAAACTCACCTTAATTTAGAGCAGGAGCTTCATGATTTTCCTCTCTTTCAATTCTTCTGGGGAGAGCGCGTCCTCGTCGACGTCCACGAGCAGTTTGTCAAAGTACTGAGCGTCTTCCGGCTTAATGAAGGGAGTTGTTGAGCGCCTTTAGGCTGCGGCTCTAGTAGGCGCGTAAATTAATAAACTCACCTTAATTTAGAGCAGGAGCTTCATGATTTCCTCTCTTTCAATTCTTCTGGGGGGAGCGCGTCCTCGTCGACGTCCACGAGCAGTTTGTCAAAGTACTGAGCGTCTTCCGGATTAATGAAGCGCAGTTGTTGAGCGTTTTTAGGCTGCGGCTCTAGGAGGCGCGTAAATTAATAAACTCACCTTAATTTAGAGCAGGAGCTTCATGATTTTCCTCTCTTTCAATTCTTCTGGGGAGAGCGCGTCCTCGTCGACGTCCACGAGCAGTTTGTCAAAGTACTGAGCGTCTTCCGGCTTAATGAAGGGCAGTTGTTGAGCGCCTTTAGGCTGCGGCTCTAGTAGGCGCGTAAATTAATAAACTCACCTTAATTTAGAGCAGGAGCTTCATGATTTTCCTCTCTTTCAATTCTTCTGGGGAGAGCGCGTCCTCGTCGACGTCCACGAGCAGTTTGTCAAAGTACTGAGCGTCTTCCGGCTTAATGAAGGGCAGTTGTTGAGCGCCTTTAGGCTGCGGCTCTAGTAGGCGCGTAAATTAATAAACTCACCTTAATTTTGAGCAGGAGCTTCATGATTTTCCTCTCTTTCAATTCTTCTGGGGAGAGCGCACCCTCGTTGACGTCTACGAGCAGTTTGTCAAAGTACTGAGCGTCCTCCGACTCCATGAAGGGCAGTTGTTGAACGCCTTTAGGCTGCGGCTCTAGGAGACGCGTAAATTAACAAACTCACCTTAATTTTGAGCAGGAGCTTCATGATTTTCCTCTCTTTCAATTCTTCTGGGGAGAGCGCGTCCTCGTCGACGTCCACGAGCAGTTTGTCAAAGTACTGAGCGTCCTCCGGCTTCATGAAGGGCAGTTGTTGAGCGCCTTTAGGCTGCGGCTCTAGGAGGCGCGCAGCGGCCGCGGCCGAACCGCCCACTTCCTCCGTCTGCATGAAAAATCCGATTGGGGTACCAGCCAACGGTGTAGGCGTGGCGGTCAGCTTACGAGCCGGCGTCCGAATCGGTACGTAACCTGGTCAACAATATCACACTTTAGCAAAGACGCGATTTCGAGCCAACGAAAAACTTCAGAGCATGTCCGATAGAGACCGCGTATAAGGGCTAGCTTGTGTAGTTTTGATACTGCATGAGCGTGTGAAATGTCGCGATGTAAATTTACACCTCAGTCTCCGTAGCATGAGCTCCACAATTTACATTATATCAGGTTTTTTATCACGTCTAACCGTCAAACTCTATAGTGATTTGACAATTGAGCGTGATATAAACGAGCTATATATCAAATTGCGGTACTCGTGCTAGGGCTGCAGAGCACGTTCTCGCTATGTCGTGACTAATATTTTATCGTTCGACTGTCGTCTTTAGTTGTTCCCGTTAATCGTTACTGTGTGGTCGAAATGTTTTATCGTTGAGCAACTATCATATACTAGCTGTTCCCATTGGATCGTGACATTTTTGCGGTTCACGGCAGTCGCCTTGTCGTTTGCACATCAGTCGCCTCTATATTATTTCTGTAATATTTTTAACGTGGCAACGATAAATAGCCGCAACAACGACACACCACTTGCCGTCACGTTTTTATATCGTTTTACGGCTGTCGCTTTAGCCGTTCCCATTGACTTGTCAATCTGTCGACACCGTCTGGACGACAGTTACTCGAATCATTCTATATGTGAACACCTCCCTTGATATATACAAGCCACGACGCTTTCAACGACACGATTATCTGTGGTCACGAGATAATGGGAACGCACCTAATTTGTCATCAGACCATAACGTCACACTGAAGTGAACAAAACGCAGCTCACACTCTCCGCACGCCTCAAACTGGCGATTTCGATTAAAAAATTTAGTAATGCGACCTCTAATGGGCGTGCTCTGTACCAATAATCAATCATAAAACATGTGACGCAAGCAAAAATCTATTGAAAACAACGCCAAAGTGTATGCTTTGACGCTTTAAAAATCTCAATCGGTGCCGGCCCGAGACCGTAAAGCCTTATTGTCATCAATCTGAAAGAAAAAGTGAGTATTAAAACGTTTGTCTTATGTTTAATAATTGCTACAACACATGTATCATTCGAGGTGTCTTTACTCGGTAGTAGATATATCCACTGTGAAGGCTTTGTTTAATACATGTGTCCTGAAACTAAAGTTGAGATTAATAACTATGTTGTAACTTCCTTAATGTATCTTAAATATTTCATTTAGCTTAACGGAATTGATTTTTAATAAATAGCATTGAGCTTTAAGTTCGATTGTAAGATACGTACCGGCTGGGGGTGGTAAAACCTTGTACCCGGCTGGGAACATGGCATCGAGTTCTTCATCCGTGTAAGGTCTGTTGCGCTCATCTATTTCTTTCTCCCATCGATAGGCTTGCAGTTGTTCGGGAGTCATGGCAGCGACGTGGCCGGGCGTCGGTGTGGCGAGCGCCATAGCTTTCACTCCAACAGGAGTAGACTGAAATAAACATGAGAAAAAATATTATTATAAGATTTATAAGTATATAAATCAGTAAAGTACACTAATTGCAAAAGGTTTTATTAGATATTTTGATAAAATTCTCGTGTCACGGTGTGCGTAATTAAACTACTCCGAAACGGCTCGACCGATTTTCGTGAAATTTTATATGCATATTCTGAGAATCGGACAACATTTATTTTTCATCATTAAATGTTAGGGGGTCCACCCTTAATTTTTATTTTGACAATTTTTTTTTCATTTTTTTATGACACATCATACAAGAATACATGCAACCCTAAATTTTCACCTTTCTACCACCAACCTCTATTTGTTATGGAGGTACGAAGTTCGCTGGGACAGCTAGTAAGTATATAAATCAGTCAAGTACACTAATTGCAAAAAGTTTTATTGGATATTTAGAAATACAAAACTCTTGATAATACATTACTCTTGACTTTTGTATTCTTTGGCTGCGTTTGTCACAAGAGTGAGATCCTTGGTCATCTCTTTATTCTTAATTGACTAGTTAGCTCCTAAAATACTTATCAGGCAAATTCATATAACAAATATTTTATAACATCGTCGTAAAATAATATGAAATTCAATAAATTACACTTTTATCCAATGTAAATGTTAAGGTTGCAGAAGAATTAAGTTCTATATCCATGAATAATATTAGCTCAAAGACAATTATGTATAGGCATTCTTTTATAATGTCAATCGAGAAAAAAGGAGAGTAGGTAATAAACAAGTTGTGTGAAAATCATAAAATTCAGTTTCTTTCTTTAAAATTTAATTTCCTTTTTATTGAAAATAAACATGGTGCCGAAACCCGGGAAAAAAGAAATGTGTCGAGCTAGTATGTATCAGTAAATAGTAAATGAGTGAGATCGGATTGCAATCTCAAACCGTGAGTAGAAAAACTTCTTAAACAACAACGCTATCGATTAAGACGTGTAAGATTAACACTTAGAATAATTCAATACGAATTTAAACTCCGAAAAATTCGGATTAGTATTCGGACTTGGTATATTTTACGTACATTTAGTTGGTTCCGATCATACATAATAATTGAAAGCAATGAAATTGGCAACCTTAATTCTTAACCAAGACGAACATTTGAAAAGAATTCAGAAAGCTTATACCAACTATTGTAAGTCACCAAAAGCACGATTAACATCATCGTATATAGAAACACGGTCCGAAGCATTGGAAGTATTGGTCAATAAATTTAACGACTACCACTCTCAAATAGTGAGCAACGCGGAAGATGATGAGAGGAGTAGCTTACCATATTTTGAAGAAGATGTCTATGAACAGTTCGAAGAAATATACTTGAATTATAAGTGTAGGATGAAGGAAGATTACAAAGAGTGTAATAAATTGGAAACAAATGAAACGCGACAAGCAATTTCCATTACATCCAATCTTAGCTGCGAAGTAAAGTTACCTCAAATCAATTTACCTAGATTTTCGGGTGGCTATGAGGAATGGCAGTCCTTTCACGATACGTTCCTTTCGTTTATTCATAAGAATATCAATTTGAGTTCAGTTCAAAAATTGCATTATCTCAAGAGCTGTTTACATGGAGAAGCGGAATACGTTTTAAAGAATTTGGCCACCAAAAGCACGATTAACATCATCGTATATAGAAACACGGTCCGAAGCATTGGAAGTATTGGTCAATAAATTTAACGACTACCACTCTCAAATAGTGAGCAACGCGGAAGATGATGAGAGGAGTAGCTTACCATATTTTGAAGAAGATGTCTATGAACAGTTCGAAGAAATATACTTGAATTATAAGTGTAGGATGAAGGAAGATTACAAAGAGTGTAATAAATTGGAAACAAATGAAACGCGACAAGCAATTTCCATTACATCCAATCCTAGCTGCGAAGTAAAGTTACCTCAAATCAATTTACCTAGATTTTCGGGTGGCTATGAGGAATGGCAGTCCTTTCACGCTGTGTTCCTTTCGTTAATACATAAGAATATCAATTTGAGTTCAGTTCAAAAATTGCATTATCTCAAGAGCTGTTTACATGGAGAAGCTGAATACGTTTTAAAGAATTTGGCCACTACAGAAACCAATTATGATGAAGCCTGGTGTCAACTTACCAGACGTTATAACAATAAAAGGTTCAATACCAATGAAGTGCTAAAGCGGCTTTTCGCGCAGAAGACGATACACACTGAGTCAGCGAGTGCTATAAAACATCTGTTGGATACTACTTCAGCATGTCTCAAATCATTAACCAATCTGGAGGTGGACACTACTTCTTGGGATGCTATAATAATTTAACTTATTGTTTCAAAGCTTGATTCGGAATCTCGCAAAACATGGGAACAGCAACTTAGTCAAGTAGATTCCGATGAAGTGCCTACTTGGAAACAGCTCAAGAAGTTCTTGGAAACCAGATTTAGAACAATTGAAATGTTAGAAGGAATTAAGACTACTGCGCCGAGAGTATCAACAGCAAGGTCCTTTCACTCTGCTGTAGAAGAAAGGAAATCGAACATCGTATGCGTTATGTGTAAGGGAGACCATGCGCTGTATCAATGCAAGCAATTTTCTAAGAGAACGCCTCCGGAAAGAGCTGATTTTGTAAAATCACAGAGGCTATGCTTCAATTGTCTTGCACCTACTCACGCTGTGAAACACTGTCATCAATCGACAAGCTGTAGACGTTGCGGCCGGAGTCACCATTCACTGTTACATTTGGAGCGGGGAAATGAAGAACGAGAGAAACAGAAATAAACAAGTTGTGTGAAAATCATAAAATCCAGTTTCTTTCTTTAAAATTAATTTTCCTTTTTATTGAAAATAAACATGGTGCCGAAACCCGGGAGTATATGGTGAGATTCTGACTAGTGGAGTAATAAAAAATCAAACACAAACATTGATAGCTCAAAACACGGTTTTTGGTTGGATTATTACCGGCAGAGTATCATCGAGTACAAATGCGGAGAAGAATTGTTAGCATGCTTACTCTGTATTTAACTGAGTATGCATGCTAACAACTCTCTTTTCTGAAAATTTACTGAAGCAATTTTAGGAGCTGGAGAAAGAACCTGACACCAACCAGAAATTATTAACAAAAGAAGAGCGAAGATGTGAAGAATATTTTGATGCAACAACTACGCGAAATGAGAACGGTAGATTTATTGTCAGATTGCCCTTCAACTCTGAAAACCCAGAATGCCAGTATGGTCGGTCCATTCAAAAGGCAACTAGATTGTTCTCATTGGAGAGAAGACTATCCAAAGATTCTAAAGTAAGGCTAGATTACTCAAATGTTCTAGAAGAATACATAGAGTTGAATCTCATGCAGCGAGTACCCCAGGAGGACATCGGTAATTCAAAAGCAGTATATTTGCCACATCATACCGTTGTGCGTGAAGACAGGGATACGACAAAGGTACGTGTAGTCTTTGACGCATCATGCAAAGGTATGAATAACGTTTCGCTCAACGATAACTTGTTGGTTGGTCCTAAGCTGCAACATGACATTTACCACTTATTATTGAGATGGCGCACACACCGCATCTGTATCATTGGTGATTTAGTAAAAATGTACCGTCAAGTGTTAGTCAATGAAAAAGATATAAACTATCAACGTATATTATGGAGATCAAACCCACATGAAGCTATAGAACACTTTCAGCTATTGACGCTGACCTTTGGTACTGCTTGTGCACCTTATTTGGCAGTGAAGGCATTACATCAGTTAGCCGATGAAGAACAATTTAAGTACCCAATAGCAGCTAAAATAATAAAACAGGAGATGTACATGGATGACTTAATGACTGGTTGTGAATCTGAGAGTGAAGCCATGATGATATTTGAAGAATTAAAGAGCTTAGTGGCTCTGGGTGGCTTTCAATTTCAAAAATGGAGTAGCAATTCTTCGGATGTACTGGAATACATCGGCAAAGATAACCAAATAGAGAACAAATCAATGAGCATTAAAAAAGATCAAACCTTAAAAATCTTAGGACTAATTTGGAACAGATCTGAAGATCGTTTTGAATATAAAATTAATTTACCACCTTTAGTAGCTCTCCTATAACAAAACGAAAGGTATTATCGGATATAGCGCGATTATTCGATCCTCTAGGTTTAGTAGCCCCTACGATCACGACAGCGAAGGTTTTTATACAGAAGCTTTGGCTGTCTGGTATAGAATGGGATCAGGAATTACCAGTTACTTTTACGAGACTGGCTTAAATATCGAGACGAGATCAACATACTCGCTAATTTCAGTATCCCAAGATGGATAAATAGGAGCAGAAAAGACAAATGTGTGGAGCTGCAAGGATTCTGTGACGCATCTAACACTGCATATGCTGCAGTAGTGTATATGCGAGTAATTAATGAAAATGATGAAGTAAACGTAAGTCTCGTAACTTCTAAAACAAGGGTTGCTCCTGTAAAACAAGTATCGGTACCGCTGTTGGAGTTGTGTGGAGCCGTACTTCTAGCTAAATTACTGCTGGATGTGTCACAAATTTTGGAGGTTGAAAAAGAAAACGTATACGCATGGACGGATTCATCGGTGGTATTAGCATGGTTAAGTGATCATCCAAAGAAATGGAAGACCTTTGTGGCAAACAGAGTATCCGAAATATTATCAATTTTAGACAACAGTCAGTGGTCACATGTACGATCTAACGAAAATCCGGCTGATTGTGCTTCTAGGGGACTAAAAGCAGAAGATTTAGTGAATTTAAGATTGTGGAAGAAGGGTCCTAAGTGGTTAGAAGATAAGAACATTAGGTATAGCAAAGGAGACTTTAAGGTTACAACGGTAGAAGAAAAGAAACATGAACCAAAATGCTTTGCGACAGTAGTCGAAAAAGGTAGTAATTTAGAATTCTTAGAAAGATTTTCTTCTTTACCAAAAATGTTACGAATTGGCTCATATTGTAGGCGATTCTTGGATCTTAAAATACTACAGTCGCAACGTCCAAAAAGATCAAAGATCGTAACTGTGGATGAAATGGACACTCCGTTAGAGAAAATCATCGTTTTGGTTCAAGCCCTATATTTTAAGGAGGATATTAATCAATTAAGGTCACATGGAAATGTATTAAAGAAGAGTCCTTTGAGTTCTTTATGTCCTATAATTGATTCCAAGGGTATATTGAGGGTGGGTGGCCGCCTTCATAGAGCAGAGATAACCTACGATCAGAAACATCCGATAATTTTGCCAGAAAACAGTCATTTATCCTTGTTACTTATATCAGAATCGCACGACAAAACGCTGCATGGAGGTCCATTAATTATGTTAAATCATTTAAGACAAAAATATTTTATTATTAGAGCACGGATTCAAGTAAAAAAATCTATGGAAAATGTGTAATTTGTCGAAGATATTCTTTAGCTAAAAGAAATCATCAGTTAATGGGACAAATTCCAGAAATCCGACTGAAACCAAGTAAGCCATTTAAGTCAACGGGTGTTGATTATGCGGGACCATTAAACCTAAGGTTTTCGTCAGGCAGAGGTTCTAAGTCGTACAAAGGATATATCTGCCTCTTTGTGTGTATGGTCACACGTGCAATACATTTAGAAGCTGTTTCTGATTTAACTGCAAAAGGCTTCATTGCTGCATTTAGGCGATTTACATCTAGAAGAGGACACTGTCAAGATCTTTTTAGTGATAATGGAACAAATTTTGTAGGGTCCAATAAAATACTATATGATATGTTCAACGGTGCCAATAATGAGTGGCCTAGCGAAATAGTACATCTTTTGACAATCGAGTCAACCGTACAACGTATGGGAAGCGGGAGTTCGTAGCGTTAAAACTCATTTACAAAAGGTAATCGGAGATACTACCTTGACGTATGAGGAACTTGCAACTATTTTAACGCAAATAGAAGCATGTTTGAATTCGCGCCCGATATCAGTTCTAAGTGATGATCCTGATGATCCACTTCCGTTAACACCAGGCCATTTTTTAGTGGGTGAACCTCTGATCAATGTAGCAGATCAAGACTTTAGTAATACAAATGTAAATGGGTTAGACAGGTGGAAATTGTGTCAAAGAATGATAAATCATTTTTGGAAAAGATGGTCGAAAGAATTTCTTGTTAATTTAAACCACCGTTACAAATGGAACACTAAGATCAACGAACCAAATATAAATGATATTGTTGTAATCAGGGAGGATAATGTTCCACCTGCTAAATGGATATTAGGAAAAATTGTAGATAAACACCCAAGTCGTGATAATTTAACTAGAGTTGTAACAGTCAAATGTAAGAGTGGACTTTTAAAACGTCCAACTAGCAAAATTTGTGTACTTTCAAAATCTTAGAAATGATGATATTGTACATACTGTATGTACAATATACATATTTGATTTACTAGATATAAAAGAACGAGAGAAAGAAAATGTGCGCGCGCACTGTTCTCTCTTGCTTATATCTTCCACTCAACTTCCGTGCGCCTCGCCCGATCACACTTTTCGTAACGCGTTCGCCAGCTTACTCCCCAAGTCAAGCGTGCGTAAAGAAGTTTCACTTCAAAAATCATTAAAAAGAAATGTTTTTTTTCTTTGGTCACGTGAATGAAAACGCTTGGGATTAGCAAAGACTTAAGCAATTCGAATGAAAACGCCAAGATAGTAACGTAATCTTGTTAGTTACAGGGACACTTACCTGAAATACGATACTCCATGTTTTTAAATGTGGATCTGTTTCCTTAGCACGAACCATTTTAGAATTTGAGTAGTTGAATTCGATCTATTTAAACGTCAAATGGGTACTGATTTTAAGTTCTCGTTACATCCTTTGTGGCGTTGCTGTACAAATTGCCATCCAAAAATTTACATTGACATTTCCCACTCGCAAACTATTCGAATTCGATATTGGTTCGTGTTAAGGGCTACTGATCTCATTTGGATAGTTTTTAACCGAACATTGGTGTCGATTCTAGCATGATTCTCTAAACCTTTACTTAAATTTGACAGCAGTATATCCTTGTCATTCTCTATCCAGAATGAAAAGGAGAGACTGATATTAAATTTAGTTTTAAGTTCAGAGAATCAAGCCAGAATTGGCACCACTGTCATTAAGTGGCGCTGTAGTCAAAATACGGACTGTTTGAAAATTACGCACGATAGACGCGTAATTTAGCTTCCGACATTTTGTGAGCGCGAGTGTGAGTCTAGTTCTTTAACCCGTGGGGCCTTGAAACCTTACTCACCGACAGAAACACAATATCACGAAAAGGTATTATTTTTTTGTTTTACTGTGATCCTCTATAAGGTTACTTTCGAGCAGAAAATCCAACCTCTTTAAAAGTATTTAAAGCTGTGTACCTGGCGTAGTTCAACCGAACTGGACAGTGAAATGGAGACGAACGGAGTGAAGATGTAGCTGGTTGGCTTGACAACGCTTCGCTCTGACCAGCTTAACTCCACGGGCTAATAAATCCATTTTCTTGTATTAATCTCTCTCAATAGAGCCAGTACTGTTTCCACAAAAGAGAAAATGATACTCACCCCGCCGTGCGTAAACACTGGCGAATGAGGCGTGGCATGGCACGGCGTGGCGTGGGAAAGCGTGGCGCCGGGCGTCTCGTCCCACCGGGAGCGTCGCTTGGTGCCAGGCGGTACTTGTATGATGTCTACGATCGTCCCGCGGTTGGTGGAAAAGAGAATATGACACTCACCCCGCCGGGCGTAAACACTGGCGTATGAGGCGTGGGCGTGGCATGCGAAGGCGTGGCGTGGGACGGCGTGGCGTGCGATGGCGTGGCGTGGGACGGCGTCGGTGTGGCGGCGGCAGGCGTGGCGCCGGGAGTCTCGTCCCATCGGGAGCGGCGCTTGGTCCCCGGCGTGGGGGTCTCTTGTATGGTGTCAACGCCCGTCCCGCGGTCCGTGCGCGGGGTCTCCGCCCAGCCACTATTGTGGCCTGGCGTCTCTGTGGGCAACAGATTTTTAAACAACTATGTCTATCACAACTTAGCTAATTTCAAACTGCTCTGTATGAAATCGGGAAGTGTGAAAGGAAACGGAGGAGGCCTTCAACCTTTCAGGGAACTATATTAGTATAAAAGATTAACAAATTCTGTAATGTAAATTAAATATTAAAGGCATTTTATACATTTATTTTATCGCATGAAATCCATGAAGGCTAGTTTATCAGGTAGAGTTTTAATGTATCTAAATTATCCTTAATTTAATTATTTTCTATGCATTTTTTTTTCTGTAAGAACCTTCCTTCTATAATGTATTAGAAAACTTGAAAAAAAATTATGAAATATTCCTGTTAAAGCCATTGCTTTATGTTCATGTGATTTAGGATATTAAGAAGTTTCATACATTATAGATGTCCGATAACTTCACGTCATTTTATACCTCTATCAGTTTTAGGTGTTTCGTCCCATCGATTTCGCCTGGAAGTGTGTTGAGCCGGCGTTTCCCTCCCCGGAGTGGCGTGTCCCGGAGTGATATGTCCTGGAGTGGCGTCCCACACTCGTGCCGAGGGCGTAGCGCCGGGAGTCTCACCGCCCCGCCCGTGAGCTCCCGGAGTCTCCTCCCAGGCCCCTCTCTTTTAATAAAAAATAAAATATCAAATGATGAAAATGCCAATCAATTAAATAACCTAAAAAATAACAAGCTGCAAGAACAGCCCTTAACACTTAACATAATAACTATGTCATTAAATGAAGATTCCTATATGGGCTTGATCAGAGTCCCACACTTGTACCGGGAGTTTCACCTTCAAGCCTGTTTGCAAACGATGTCTCCTTTCAGGCTCTTCAAAAAAACTTGCATCTGGTTGTTATCAAACCAAAATCTGCTAACTATGTGTAATAAATATAACTTTAAAACATAGCAGTTAATATTTAACAATATTCTGGCTGGTGCAACAGCCCAATCTAGTCTTTGTATTCTAAAATTGGTTAGTATACTAGAGTATACTAGTCATAATGTTGAATACTCCAGTTTGACAATGCAATATATTAATCGGTAATTTCCATTGCAAATCTGATTCTTTTTTGGTAAAACATAATTGGAAATCAAACAAATATTGTGCAAATTGTGTATGTAGTGCATATTTACCTCAGTGTCCCAAGATGGAGTTGCTTGTGAGCTGGGTGTAGCAGAAATTGTCTTCTTGGCCAATGGCGTGTCATCTGAGCTCTGATCCCAGCGGCCTTTACGTTTTGCAGCACTTTTTGGTGCTTCACCGTTTGATTGTGCAACTGGTTTTAATGTACCCTCCCTCGCTCTTTCCAAGAGCTTTTTACGCAACTAAAACACACAATATTATAATTATGATACTTATCTATTATGCAAATAAACCTCCCTGATAAAATCATAATACATCTAATTTACAGCTTAAGGGATGTCAGTAAATATTTATTTCAAACACCTTCACATATAACATTAATTACTTACCTCAGTTTCTTCTGCACGCAGATACTGTTCTTTCATAATCTCAGTATAGGTTCTGGAGCCAACATCTGGTGTTTTTCCACCTAAAACATTAAACATTTTTTTGTATTTAAAAGCATGTTTTATCAAAGCTAGGTGCGACAAATGACTCCGCCCCCCTGATGTTAAGTGACGGTGAAGATAACTGGTAGCTGGTACGGCAGCTCTACCTGCCAAACCAGCCATCTTCACCTTGCCGGGCCGCATGTTGATTCTTCACGCCTCTTTTAAAGGTTGTAAGAAATGGAATGCTCTGAAGGGTGCAGAGCATTCCATTTACGGATAGTGCGACAAAGAAATAAGTCACCAAAGGACATCGACGAAATCGGCCCTAGCATGCCCAAAAGAATGTCCTTCACTATTATTTTTTTAATTTATTAGCATTAAATCATAGTAAACGGACAATCTGTTTAAAAAAATAAAAGTTCTGTTACTAGATACTACAGTCTGTTCATCCTAACTTGTCCTATTTGGTAAACAATCTTCGCACTCCTCTTTATTGAAAATATAGCATTAAAAGTCAACTGATAACTGGATTCAATAGGTTTCAGTCTATAGTAACGTTTATTTTAATAGTTTATTGGCTTCGTTATTATTTTATTTTTAAATGCGTGATTTTGTTAAAAAGTTGTGCCAAGATTGTTTACCATAATAAATGCAATATAGGCGACCATAAGTATTTATCAACATAAGAATAGAACTAGGTACTGTAACGTGTTAAAAACGTTACATGGATCTCCTTCGCTCGAAGAGCGAGATAGAAGATTTTTTTGGTTGTCTCTCTGGTCGTTTTTATCTCGCGTCCATTTTCTTTAATCTGTGCACTTTAGAATTATTATGTGTCTGCATTTATCAAGCAGTAGGCTGTATGGACGTTGTTCTCTTTGTCTTCCCGGCAAGAGAAAACAAACTTGAGAAAAGACTAATGTCACTTCTGTCACTTTACTTCACGACCAAAATTTTTACGTAAAACATGTAAGAATCTTAATCGTAATTTATAAATTGATAATCCATTGGATTGTCGATTGTTTTTAATGATGTAATATTTTACACCGTTTGCGCGGAATGGCGGCGACCCCATTCCAAGCTTAATTTGTTTATAAAACGCGAAAAGCGTTTTTTTATTTGGATTTTTTATCTGGATTTTTTTCATTCAAACTTCAACATTTCCCATGATGTGGAGGTGAATCCCCGTGTTGTAACAACGGCCATCCCTTACATATATGCAACACCAGACATATTTAACTCCAAAGATGCAACGAGGTCGGTAATCTTCTAAATTCATAATTGTGTATCGGCCCCCATATTAAAGGTAACATTTTCACTTACATCTTGGTAGCTTTAGTATATAAAGTAGTTTAAAAATTTAGCAGTAACCCTTTTGGACCAGTAATTCTGTAGTAAATTTAAATAATTGACAACCCAAAATGAATATGGATTCATTCATTAAGCTCCCCTTGCTTGTATTTTTAATATTACAATTGACGCCAGCGCACAGGGACTTGGTTTATGCAATCCATTTCATTTTGTACCTATGATAGTAGTCTTGTCTGGTTGTTTGTAATCTTTATTATTACATTTGTGATATAATATAACTTTTGTACTTGAATTTTAATACATAAACATAGATTTTGTTTGTAATATAATTACAATTTAACTTAATGTTTTGGATGGTTTGTGTTAATATTAACTTTTCATTTAAAGTACTTGTTTTGAACTTTATTTCATATTTGAAATGTTCTATATACGTCTGTAGTGATGCATCACATAATATTTACTACTTTTGTATGTTAATTTAGTATTTTGCACATGCAAATTTCTTAGAATTTACTCGACTTAAAAACAATTATTTGGTTTATACCAATTGATGCATATTGCATATAACTTAAACTTTTATTACCTTGTAAACTATGATCATTGTGTTATTGTTTTGTTATTTACATTTGAATATGCAAATTTGCAAAGCTTTTTGCTATATATAAAAAACTTAGGACTTTTTGTTCGAACGTTTTGATAATTTTTAAAATGTTTTGTGAACATTATTTGAAATTCATACAAGTTTCTTAATGATAAATATAACTGTTCCACAACTTGTTTTGAGGTAGTATATACATTGTTTAAATAAAACATAAACAATAAAATTTAACTTTTATAAATAATAACATAAACTTAAAATAATTTAACATTCTTTGAAAAAATTAAACTAAATATTTTGAAATACTTTCATAACTTAATGAAGCATTGTTTATATAATAATAATAATTAACTTAGTCATAATAATACTATGAAATAACTTTTGATGTTGTTGTAACTTAGATATTTTGACATTTTGTCACAAACTTATTTCAGTTAAAGTTAATATAAGTTTTATATTAATAATTTTTAAATAATTTAATTTAGTTACATAACTTAAGATTTAAATATCTTTCACCAATTGTAAACTTGCTGCATCTTGCTTTATCTTTTAGAAGATTTAACTTTAAATTTATTTTGCGTTAACTGCGTTTATAATTTCACTGCTATTTTGGCATTTTGCGAGGATGGAAGGTGACAAACTTGCATTATCTGCTGCCTTGCCGCCTAAGGAGCAACCTGTTTCTTTTTGCATTATGATGCTAGTTCTGTTGGTATTGGTAGTGTTTTGAGTCAAGAAGATGATAACGGTGATCAACATCCTATTGCTTTTTATTCTAGATCTCTTAATAAATGTGAACGTAATTATAGTGTGACTGAGAGAGAACTTTTCGCAATTTTAGATTCTATTGAACATTTTAGGCCGTATATTGAAGGAATGAAGTTTACCGTAGTAACGGATCATGCTAGTTTAAAATGGCTTTTAAATTTAAATAATCCTTCTGGTCGCTTGGCTAGATGGGCTGCTAGAATTTCACAATTTACATTTGATATAATTCATAAAAAAGGTTCTTTGCATGTAGTTCCTGATACTCTTTCTCGTTATGATATAGCTGCGTTGACTGTAAATTCAAATCGTATTGTTTCGCCTAACGATGACATCGTAGATCCTTGGTATAGAAAGATTTTTGTTAATTGTCAAAAATTCCCTTCTAGATATAAAAATTTTAGAGTAGAAAATGATACTTTGTATAGATTTTGTAAATCAAAATATAGCGTTAATAATAATTTAGTTTGGAAAATTGTTGTTCCAAAAGAACATATTTTAGATACTATTAGAAATAATCATGATGATTTAAATTCGAGTCATTTAGGAATTCATAAAACTTTGCATAAAATAAAACTACATTACTTTTGGAAAGGTATGTTTAATGATGTTCATAAATATATTAATAGTTGTGATATTTGTAAAGCTTATAAGCATTCGACTTCTAAACCACTTGGAACTATGATTAATCCCAAAAAAGTAGATAGACCTATGGTAATGTTAAGTATGGATTTAATTGGAATCTTACCCAAAACTTATTCTGGTCATAAATTTATATTATCTGTAGTAGATGTTTTTACAAAATATTGTTGGTTATTTCCTTTGGCTAATGCAACGACTAGATCAATGTGTAAGTTCTTAGAAAAAGATATCTTCCTTAAGTTCGGATGTCCAAAAATAGTTGTATGTGATAACGGTACTCAGTTCACTTCTAGAAATTTTGTAGATTTTCTTAAAGGTTTTAATATTGACAGAATATTTTATAATACTTTATATACGCCTCAGAATAATCCAGTGGAGCGTTATAATAAAACGGTTGAAACTTGCATTTCTTGCTTCGTTCGTGATGATCATAGAACTTGGTCGCAATTTCTTCCACATGTTCAGTTAGCTTTGAATAGTAGTGTTAATTTGGCTACGGAGTTCACTCCGAATTTCCTAATGTTTGGTAAGGAGTTAATTATTGATGCGTCATTGCACCGTTTTAGTAATTCTTTTGATAATTTATCACAGATCGATCTTGTTGACCGTTCTGCTTTTGCTCATTCACTTTCTTCACTTGAAAGTATTTTTGTTAAAGTTACTGGAACTTTATTTAAAGCATATAAACGTAATGCTTCTTATTATAACAAGCGTCGTGAAGTCACTTCTTATGATGTAGGTGATATTGTTTGGAGGAGGAATTTTGTTGAATCTAGTGCTGCTCATTATTTTTCGGCAAAACTAGCTCCGAAGTTTATTAAATGTAAGATTATTGATAAAATTTCTAATAATGTTTATGTTTTGAAGGATTTGGTTAAAGGTACTTCTGGTCGTTACCGACATTTAAAAACGACATTTTAAAGACATTTTGAAAATTCAGATTGCAAATTGTTTAGCTATTGTTTGGTTAGTTTTGTTACATAAACAAACCTTTGGGTTTTAGGCTTTTGTGACTTGAGTGATCTGGGCATTTGAAAGTTTATTTGCGTGAGGTATGTACTGTTGCCCTTGGAAGGTGATGAAAGAAAGTGATGTTACTCAAATACATTTGACTTTACTCATTGACTTTTTGGTTTTTATTGAATTCAAGTTTTGCCATTATATTATTTGACTTAGAAATTTTTTAACAAAATTTAAATTTACGTAGTATGCCTACTTGTTTTCTGCATCATAAGATTTTATAACCTTTTGTTTCGTGCAGATGTTTTATCTGTATGGACACATTTTTATTAGGATTTTATATGTCCTTATTTGTTATTTTTGTACAAACTTATTTGTTAGTACTATAGTTGTGTGGTGTTTCTACATGTTTGTTGTTTTATAACAATTTGTTTTGTGTAGAAGTTTGTGTGTGTGATAATTGTTACACCCGGATTTGACATTTTGGGATCCCCACTTTTTCCTTGGATTTGACATCCATGATTTTGACTTTTTCGTTCAATATTTTTGACGATTTGTTTGGTTTACCACTTTGTTTTGGTAATTTGTTTGAACATATTTGTGGACATCATTTGTTTTGTTTTTGCACATCATGTTCGGAAGTTCGGTGGAGTTGTGCCGATCATGAAGTTGCAATTTCGACTTTTTGTTCAACATTGTTGACGCTTTTTTGGTTTTGCCATATTGTTTTGGTATTTTGTTTGCCCATATTAGTGGACATCA